TTTATTTGAGATGAAGCTCAACGTGCTCATGACATCTATGGCAGAAGTGTGAGCGGTGTTCGTTGAAATACACTTCAATTAAGACTCACTTTTGAACACGTAGATCGCGACCACATGCCGACTCGTCCCTCGCTACCACAACACATTCCCCACCACCGAGTCCCGTTCTTCCATCAAATCCGCCACCTGTGGATGTCCTTGATGTTGATTCTGATGCTCCAGTCCCCCAACAATCCCTGCAAAGATTAAGAAGCGCACATTTCAATGCTCTGGCTTTCTGCTTACCTTTCCCGAGGGCATGTCACCGCATATCGACTATCCGTTCCCGATGCATCAGCGGTTTTCGCTTCCATGGGGATACGAGTTTGTGCCATCGAACAGTGCATTAGTCCTACGCGCCCATAAATGTACCAGCATCAAGGAGAGCGGGGCAATCTGTAACAACTGCAGCTCTCTTGAGAGCGATAGCATTCTGCAGGGAATTCTTAAACGCTGTAAAGAGGGCGCGCAAGCAAGCACGAACCTTGACTTTTATTCCCATCGTCAGCTTGTCCAGCGTTCCGAGAGACTGGAACTACAGATAAACACGCTCAAGTTGGAAGGATTGAATAGCGTGAAGCACGTACGACGGGCGGACAGAGCGCTGAACGATTATGAGTGCCTAATTGTTGCTTTTCGCAGTGGTGATGTAGAAGCAGTTGATCGCATCCTTCGTGTGGGCTTTAAACGAGGACTGGGAGTGCGTGGAATACTAGCGCTGTACGAGCGTGCTGCAGCCGGTGCATATCGTCCACAGGGATACGACGAGGATGACTTTCTGCGGGGACTGTTATTCTGGCGCCTCGGTGGAGCTCGGTTAGCTGGTATTGCTCACCGATGTCTGCCCCAAATTCCCAGTCTATCCACCATTCGCCGTAATTCCACCATGTCTCGCATTCTAATCTCTCACCAAAAGCCTACACCCGTCGAGATCGGGCAGAACCTGCGAAATGTCTTATCGATAGACGAGCTGCGAGCTGGTCATCAGGACTCCGGGCGCATGCATGCTGTTGCAATGTTTGATGAGATTTCAACGGAGAAGCGAATTCGATGGGAGGACTTGCACAATTGGTTCGTTGGCGTGTGCAGAGAGCATGGCCAAAAGACGTCGTTGGAGTTCAACTCCATGGAGGATCTGATCGAGTTGTTTCAATCTATTGATGCCGGAGAAGTCCACTATGCGTCTGAGGTATTTAAATCCCGCGATTGTCTCGCGCTCCAGGTGCTTATAATTCAATTATCAGGCTACAATTGGAGCGATGGGATTCCTTACGAATGATACACGGCTATACGGGGCTCGACCTGTGCTTGTGTCAGGAACGTGCAAGCACGAAACAAGTTCTGAACATGCGAAAGTTCTCGAAGCCGTATTGGATGCCGTCGACAATAACCTGAATGACTTCGACATTCGCGTCACCTCCCTTGCCTCTGATGGAGAAAAGAAGCGTGGAGGCGCCCTTATCGAAATTACCTGCAAGCGTCCTCTTGCATCTATATCCCCAATCTACACCCATCTCAGTTCCCTTCAGTGGATGAATCTTCTAGTTGGCGACGACGATATTACATGTGACAAGGACTACAAACACATCTTCAAACGGATCCGCAATCTTCTTCTACGCAAACGTGGTATTGAGATCCTCGATCGCCATATCACTCCAGTCATCATAAAGAAACATCTTCGCATGGCTGGAGGTACACCGGAACACATTCGGTCGCTCTTCAAGCCCGATGACAAGCAGGATGTTCCCTTGACGTACCAGCTTTGCCGCGATATATAGTCGCTTCCAGAGTTGGAGTCCTCGAACGTTGAGGATGTTGAGATGCGCCACGCGCTCTGTATCCTCAGAAACTTCCTTCGCTACCTCATCTTTCCCTATATCTGTGTGGACTTGAGCCTGTCAGAACAGCTCCAGTACCTCAGTGCGGCGGCTCACGTTGCCATCTCGATGTTTCGTCGTTCAGAAACACGCTTCTTCCCAACTTTACTCTATGTCGACATCATGATAATGATCAAGAACGTGTTCTTCTGCGTCGTGAAGGCCAAGGTTGATCATCCTGGAGGCAAGTTTTGGATCATCCTCTTGGGAACGGATCGACTCGAGACGTTGTTCGGGATACTGCGTACCATTATTGGCACAGACGCGAACATCGACCTCCTTCAACTGTGTCTGCGCCTGACTGGGACGGTTGAAGTCTCGAATATCCTGGTAAAGCGCCCGGCATGGAATAGCAGTCCTCGTCGGTTGAAGCTCCCTGCCATCTCCAGAGACCGTGTCGAAGTCTCTGACTCCAAGATAGATCATATTAATCCGACATCATGGCGCGGAGATGTTTCTCTCGCCTTCGTCTCGCCTCAGACTCAGTGGAATTCTGGCAAGCGTTTAGTTCGGGACGAGATTCCCGAGCTGGCACCTTACCTAGATGAGCTTGAAGCAGATACGCGCCCGATCGACATATTCGCTCCATTTGGCACGCTTCTCTTCAACGAGCCATTGGCCGCCGACGATAATGAGGAATCTGACTCGGACGGCGAGGAAGAGGGTGAGGATGTGCCCGCTGCGGCTGGGCCGCGTTCGAACACCAGTCGTGAAGCCAGTGAGGAGGAGAGTGACAGTCCGGATGCTGGGGACGAGGATCAGGAAGGTGGTGCAGATGGCCTGGCAGTCGCGTCTGGGATACAGGAGTTCGAGGATGGATTGGGTGAAGAAGATGACACGATGTACTCTGACATCGGGAAGCGCACTTTCGACCGTCATGTTGTCATAGATGGCAAGACGGTCAGCAAGGTGCGCGCAATCAAACTGCACTCGCTATACCGCAACATGACAAGCTCTATGAACCGCTTGAAACGCGTCCAGGAAATGGGGCGCTTCTCGACGAGTACAACCCGCGTTACTGGTCCTTCACAGCCACATGACATTGGTACGACACCTATTCTAGAGCCAGGTGATACCATCGTCACTGTTCTGGGGTGCGAAGACCTTCTATTTCTTTGTATGGGGGCGGTGACCGATCTGAACGCTGGCCCGTCGCGAGATCCTTCCGTTGATTATGTCGAACTCGGCATCTTGAGCGAGGATGGAGTCACTGTAACCTTCCAAATTATCGATCTGGTACCAGCAACATCCGACGATGACCCTACCTTGGTTCATGATTGGAGGTCCCAGCAGCGTGCAAGACCAACAACTTTCACGGTCCCTGGCCAGTTCGTTATCCCAATGACACCAACGATTGCTGTTCCACAGACTGGCCGGACATTCTGGTTGATAGAAAGTCAGGCTCTGATAGCGTTCGGGCAGGATCTCTGTTATAAGATCAGTTCGGCCTCAACTGATGTGACGGTCTCGAGAAGGAACAGAAATATACCTGACGTGAAGCGCTCGCGGGACTTTCCATATCAGAATGCTCTGAGTGAGTGCTCTGTTTTACATTTCAGGGTATACTTCATCTAACTGTGTCATCAGGCGAGGCGTGTTTCGTGTGCGAGATTGACAAACCTCGAAGTATAACCAGCGGCGCTAGCCACTGTCCATTCTGCACAAAACCACCAATTCCCCTAGATCTCTCGAAAGCCCAGACGATTATCGCTCACATCAGTGCCCATGTCCTGTTTGACAACATCACAGGTGAACGATGCGGTCTCTGCGGCTCTCTGTCACCCCAGTGCCGTTACTTTTTGACGAAGGGATCCAAACCGCAAGTCAATCGCACAGACACCGTCGGTTGCTCCGTCTTCGACTCTCTTAAGACGAGAGGGTTCCGATATGCAAACGCTGCAGAGTCTTCCGCAGCCAGTCCTTGCTCGAACGTTCCAATTCCTTGCCAAATCTGTATACGGAGCAATCCAAAGTCGCGGGCCATCTGGAAGTACAGCGCCCGGGCGCACTACCTGAAAGAACACCCCGGCGCAGACCTGCGCCTATATGAGAAGGACTGGGAAATCACATCGTCGGAGCAGGAGGCGATGCGGTTAATCTATAAGAACCGTCATAGTAAGCCAAAACTCCCGAAAGATAGACGGAAGGAGAAAGCGAAGAAAGAAGTAGGGCAACTGGTTGTTTCAGAAGCTCACAGCTCAAGAATGGGCGACAGGTATGGCAAAACAAAGTTTTTGCAATGTATGCTAAACATGGATTGCTAGATATACGGGTACTGCAGAAAAGACCGGTCAGTCCCATGATATTCTACGACTCGCAAGTAAAATACTTACCCAAATCGCTAGACGTTCCTGTTCCGCATCCGCGTCCACGTCCACGACCACTTCCGAGTCGCAGACAGATCGTGCAGTCTGATGACGAAGATCTGGAATACGAAGACGGTATGAGCGGCGATGATGAGGACAATGTCATACGCGATGTACGCGCGGCTGATGAACGCTCCGAATCCGAGAACGGTGACCAAGATTATCCCAATCCATTCAGCGTTGATGACCTCGAATACGTGGATCCTTCCGATGCAGATGAAGGCTGTGAAGCAAGGGTAGCCAGTGCGCCTAGCATGCCTGCACCAGAGAATGATCCTTTGGAGTCCAACGAGGCGTCAGTCACCGAAGCTATGGACGTGGAAATGAACACACCAAATGAAAGTGATGACACGCTTTCGCGACCAGATCCTGACGCGACGCGACCACCTTTAGAGCCAGTGTCCGACGCGCGACCCACAGAACCAATTACATCAGTCAATCCGGCAGCTTCTGCGACGCTTGCGAATCCAGGACCAGCGGAACCCATACCCACGCCAGCGCCCGGTCCAGTGGTGGGTGGTAGTCGTCGGTCGGGACGGAAGCGTAAGGGAATAGATTTAGCGGATGTGCTCGGCCACTGTGAATGTGGAATCGCCGTTCCCGAGAGTGAGCGAGGTGCAGCAGCAAAGTGCACGCGAGCCGGTGTCACACATATAAAATGGTTCCTAATATTTTCTGAGGAATAACAGAAAAGATTAGCATGCAGCCATGAATAGGGATCCCTCGAAGAGAGTCGAACTCGTAGCTCTTGACTATGAGAGATTTATTCCTACGGACACATGTGTCAAGCGTGTTAACCATTACACTACAAGGTCTATATTAGATTCTTCTAGAAGTATCCAGGTTACACAGGGCTATGCAAGGCTACGCATCAGGCTGTGTAAGGCTATGCAAGGCTATGCATAAAGCTGTGTATTGCCCCATATAGAAGTAGGTAGAATTTTAGTATATAAGGCGAGTGGTACTAGACGATCAATAAGAATCCCCCAGTTATAAAATACTGTCTTGAGTGAATCTTAAGTAAGCATATGCTTAGATAATGAGATTCTTCTTCTAGTTTGAAGTTCCGGAACTAGAATACTCAATCAACGGTAATACTCTGTCCGATACAGAGTCGATTACAGGATTAGGACTGAATACGTAGATACAAGAACGCTTGTATCATTGAAAAAGCTTGCGATAGGAACCACAGGGTCAGACCGTCCTAGCTTTACTAACAGATTGAATACACACGAAAGAGCTTGCGATAGGAACCACAGGGTCAGACCGTCCTAGCTTTACTAACAGATTGAATATGCACGAAAGAGCTTGCGATAGGAACCACAGGGTCAGACCGTCCTAGCTTTACTAACAGATTGAATACGCACGAAAGGGCTTGCGATAGGAACCACAGGGTCAGACCGTCCTAGCTTTACTAACAGATTGGATACGCACGAAAGGGCTTGCGATAGGAACCACAGGGTCAGACCGTCCTAGCTCTACTAACAGATTGGATACGACCGAATATGCAGACCGAGTACGTAAGCCAAATCTGAGACTGAATATACAGACTGAATATGCAGACACAAGAACGCTTATGTCATCAACTGAAGTGAGACCGATAACTCACTCCCACAGACAGAATATAGATTGCAGACCGAGTACGAGACCGAATACGAGACCGAATACGAGACCGAATCTGAAACCGAAAATATATAGACCGAATACACAAACACAAGAATACTTGTATTATCGACTGAAGTGAGACCGAAACTCACTCTTACAGAATATATGTAGATAGCTCACGATAGAATCAGGCCTATCCAGCTTACTGACAGATTAGACTTAGACCGAATATACAGATACAGGAATACTTATATCATCAACTGAAGTAAGACCAATTACTCACTTTTACGACACATAACGAAACAACTTGCGATAGAACCAGGCCTACCTAGCTCTACTTAGAAATCACTACGCCCGATAGAAGTATCAAAGAGTATTAGATATTAAACCCCGAACAAACAGACTAGCTCGTTCTATATAAAGTTCCAGCGACCTCTGTGCTAGGAAATTTATATTTAAATTTTCTAGTGTGATAAATTGGAGCCCACCGCGAGGGGAAAAATAATATCTTCAATGCTCTTTGATCTCCATGATAAGAACTAACACGCATGTCGTAGAAGACATCTAAGATGCAGAATTTTACCCATCTTAATACTGAAACTTCTTTTATTTTCTCAACTAATCCAGAACTATGAATAATTCAGACTTTACTAATTAATATGATACATAATAAGAATATTAGTCCTTTTAGCAATACACCACTTAGTCTATTATCTGACTTATCATTAATTGAAGAGCTTCGTGCTATGTGAGCTCCTTCGCCATCACTTCCCCTTTTCATCACAATTCCTACATACCTTGACCTTCCCTTCCACTTTGATTCCATCCTACCAGCTATCTCACCCTCCTCATCCACACGTCAATCTTCTCACCAACTCAATTTACTGCGTCAAATACCCTCCAAGCCCTAAGATCACGACTCAAGGGTAAGAACTTTGCCCTTTGCATATGTCATTCCGATAATATGGGATACGCAGATACTAGTCTCATCGACAAGTGCCACCACATCAACAATATCTTCGTTGAACACAATATCGTCAGCCGCAGTACTATTAGGCACCCTTACTCAGTTGTCAACATCATACCTTAATATTTCATAATGCCAAGAGCTGTATATGATACTTTTCGATGGGGTAGCAGATAATCACTCTCTTCACGACTACAGAATCCATTTTATATAGGCATCAGACTCGTTATTTGATGAGGGACATGTGAGTGATATCAGTATTTGGTACAGGTATGCTTGGGCTTGGGAGATGTACCAGCTCTACGCTCAACAGGATTATCCTTTTGACGAAGGTCAGCTTGTTCTGGCCCACACTCACCCAGCTATTCATAAAGCTGTCGAATACATTGGAGAATATAAGTCCATCTTCGAAAGCTTCATTCAGCTATCCAACAACTACTCATTTGATACACCTCCCCTTCCTTCTGCCATCAGACACGAGTCCTTGCCACCCATCTGGTATAAGGCTTATCTTCTCAAGAAATTTCCTACTCACCTTCACATAATGACTATCCGCAAATCAAGAGTGCAGTCTATGTGCCCTAATGAAGTCACTGCTTCAGCCATGTCATATCTTTACTCGCATTTCAATGGAAGACCAAAGGTTAAGTACAATGCTTGGATTCAACCTAATAATTTGAACTTTGTTCACGATTCACGATTCCACTTCATCATGCTTATCAACCAATTCATCTGAATCTAGCATATGCTAGCATCCGGATGCAAGTCGATTCGCTTCCAACCTCTCATCTAACCCATCACTTCTTCTACTACCATTCCATTCCTCTTCGCTATCTCAGCAGCAATGTAGATGATGTGCGCCAAGGATTCAATGTTTACTGCACCCATGCGGATACATCCTATGTCGGATCACCCCATACCCACCTTGCCCGCCGTTGATCCCAATTAACCTTGTCTCTCCACTGAGGAAGACGGGTTTCTCTTTCATATGTCTGTCCTTTTTCGATTGGAAGGGTATGATCACCTTGTCAATTGCGTCACTAATCTTTGAGGAATAAGATTTTTCTTACTAGATGAACTTTGAATACTTTTGATACCTCAATCTCTTGCTTTACTTTGACTACCTAAGTTACAAGTACCTCTACATAGGCTGAGCTTGTCCCTCTGCTCTTTTCTTGTTCTTGTTGCTGGATGACAAGGCCGTTCTTTCTAGATTTCTTATATTTTTTTATTATATTATCCTTCTGCTTTTAGTTTTTATATATGTATGCTTGATAGATAAATACTTACTTTCCTATACTTTCAGACTTAAATATTGTTGTTAAGATTGTGTTATCTACTATGTAGGATATGATTCGATATTGTACTTTTAATTTTCTGTTCCCTGCGAAGTGTGAAGGAGATGCAATTCAAGAAAAGGTAGTAGTCAAGAATTTAATGATGCTAGATATACAGTCAAAATCTCATTGTAGAATTGTGTATAAGGGTACAGATCTAGATATAGTGCTAGTATCAGAGGATGTCTCCCAACCAACCCATCCTATTCCCTACAAGCATCAAACATACAATCTCTGTTTCTGGCTCTGATGTTTGTATGATCAATAAGATCTCATATCTAATGCAGGCATTCTCCAGCATAGAGGACAAACTTTAATAGACTACGCTGGTATACGGATTTACAAACACAATTCAAGAGTTTAGTCGTCGCATAATGCACACTCTGAAGAATATTTGGGACCAGGATATTTGCAACAATTACATTGTTGACTGCAGAGTTTGTAGTCCTCCAACTCGCTATGGAGACTAAGTGATAGAAGACAATGCCCACATACACAGATTCTGGTGGAATTCATTGAATAAATTGATAAGTTCCTTGCCGCGCTGATCACCGCCAGCATCACCATCTCCGGAACTAAAGCTATTCTTGCAACACTTGAACTTAGCATCACGGGATCCCTTGTAGCCCTTGCTGGCTGGATTCTACCACCCGATCTTATCTTGAAAATCATTCAATGGCCTATCCTCATCTCCATCAGCGAGGTCCACATGTTCCTCGGACTGGCTGGAGGAACTCGTCGCTGAATTCGCAACTTTGACACGATTGTCAAACCGCTCTCAGTCCTCTTACGAGATGAAGTACCATTCCAGATTACAGATGATGTCATTGATGCTATTGACTCCTTGAAGAAGAAGATAACATCTGCGCCAATTTTAGCACATCTCGACTATGAGAAAGCTCAACTAATCATACATCCGCCTTGAAAAAGCGATGAAGGCCTTATGGTCCTAGGTGTTGACTCAAGTTGGATGGGAGCAGGCTGAGTTCTTTATCGGATCTACTACAACCTGAAGAAGCCCGCAATATTTGGATCATGCACCTTCAACTCCACCTAATAAAACTATGGCCAGCCCAAGTCGGAAGTCTTTGGCGTCTTCTGCGCACTGAAAGACTGGCGTCACAGACTCTGGGGTGTACATTTTTTGCCTAGAGCATGATGCTGTCTCCCTTGTCAAGATGCTGCGAAATCCTGATGATGTCCCTAATGCATCTATGTTGCGTTGGATTCACTGGATCAGTCTCTTTGACTTCGAAACCTGTCATATCCCAGCAACATTGCTAAAGACGGAAGACACCCTCTCTAGAACGCAGATTGATACAGATTATCTGAATGTTGCAGATGATGCAGAGGAATTCCTAGATGCCTATAATTTGGCATACAGATCCTGTGAACTTGTACCACCAGCACTATGTTCCCCAAAAGCTCTTGTTGACTTCACACCTTATGCACTACAGATTAAGTACTCAAATCCCTTCGTGACATGCTGGAATAATGGCTTATTGCTGCCATTATATTGCAGATCCTCAGCTATCAAATTCCATGATTCCGACTACTCTCATCTCAGCTCTATACTCGCCAATCAATCCTATTCCCTATTCACGCATGCAGCACTTCGCAACCCTCAACCGTGGAACATCAGAGCATGCCCAGACAACCATTGCAGCAAGCATTACCATAAATCCCTGGTTACAATCACAGAGGCATTTTCCATATCCTGTGCTTATAACCACCCATCAAGTAGCCATGCATTAGTGCAAATCAGTGCTTATTACCACAGCCAGAGGCCCACCTACATTTGGGAGGTTCCCGGCAGTAGCCTTGAGCCAAAAACACCCGTATTCGTTATCTGAAGGTCACTAATCATCCTAATGCGGTTGGTAACCTTGATTAAGCAGTACAGGGT